GCATGGAGATGATACTGCACAAAACACTAAAAGGGCTCTCTTCTGCCATAAATATTGTTGTCAATTGGGGTATGGTACATTTTATGATTGAAATTTGTTTGACAGTTAAGTATGGGATTAGGCAAATAGGTCTGCTCCTGTGGCAAATGCAGTTGTGTCATATGAATGTGTTGACAAGCACAATACATAAGTAAAAAGTAGCCTTACATCCTGGGAAAAAATAGAGTTTAATTGGGCAGAAAAAATGAGGAGGTCCTTCTTTAGTAAAAGGGATATGGTTTCATAAAAAGAGCATGCTGATGAGCAAACAAGCAAAGAGAGACATTAATCACTGGCATTTTCAATTCTATTCCCCTTCAGTCGGCCTAGAAAAAAAATCAACACAAAGTGTGAGTAGAAATTGTCCCATTAAAGTAAGCTTTTCAACAAAGTCAAAAGAAGTAGATAATCATAAATATCCTTGAAATTGAGTAGCTTCTAGTACATTAGCCATCCAGAATCAGATAATTCACCTCATTGGTAATATTTCAAATTCTTCCACCACAACGTATAGATATAGACCATGTGGTGTCAAGGGGGAAAGTAGATATTGGGGAAAAAGAAAAAGAAAGGTAATTGAGGGAAACTGAATACATATTAAACTTTATAAGAAAACCTTGATATGGGTAAAGTTTATTACTGCATAAGATATAAAAATGCAAGTTTGTCTCCAATTGTTATCAAAGTCCCAATGACCTCATTTATTAAATAAGTTTATTATAGTAGGTTATGAATAAAGTGTTCCTGCTTAAGATCACTCAAATGCAAAACTTGTTTGAAGGAAAACATGCTTCACGTGGCTAGCTCTTCCTCTTCCACCTTCCTGTGTTCTCAACATCTATGATTCATTGACTTTATGGATTTAGAACACTCATTAGTGTTTCTCTTTCAAATTAATGATGTTCGAGATTTGCAGTTTTTTAGCATGTTGATTGGACATGACAAAATTATCTATCTTGTATCTTATACAGGATATTATCTCACAAAGGCATCCTCTAATCCTGGAGCTGGTGATATTCTTATGGGATTTCTAGGATCGGTTATCCTTTCCTTTGCCTTCTCAATGTTCAAACAGAGGAAGGTACAGGATTTTCTGATTCAGAGATCCAGGATTTAAAATACAAGTAATTCTTCTAGTTTGGATCGCTTAGATCTTGACGTCGCTTTACACTAGGCATGTGAAAGGTTTATGAACATTTTTAGCCCAATCTATGGATAGATTCACTTATCTTGTCCCTAAGAAAGAGTTTTTATTATCATCTGCATTTATTTACCCATTTTAGTTTGGCTGTGCCTCTCTATTCTATTTTTCTTAAGTTTTAAATTATGCTCATTATATTGGTTCATAGGATATAGCAGATAACTTTATTCTTCTAAAGCACAGAAAAAGATCATTAGGAATTTGGCTGAGGCGTGTCAAAACATTAGACAAGTGCGTACTGATTCATTAGATTAAGAGAATGGATGTTAGATTTTCAGCACATGAAGAATGGAAAAGGAATCCATAGACCTCAGAGAAACAAGGGAACTCTTAAATCAGAAGATGGAGGGATTGCAGATTACTGACAGACCATGAACATATTCGTAATTCCCTGCAATTAGTCTTATTGGTGTTTGCTGTTTCTTTTTTTACCAATAGTAAAAATAAATTTTACGCTCATCGTGACCTTTAATTTGGCCACGTTCTTCCTAAATTGTCTCCTTTTCACTTTTCAGCTTGTTAAGAGGCATGCAGCTGAGATTTTCGCCTCAGTCATTATCTCAACTTTGTTTTCTTTGTACTCAACGGCTCTGATTGGACGACTTCTTGCATTGGAACCAAGTTTAACTATATCAATACTTCCCAGATGCATTACTGTGGCATTGGCTCTCAGCATTGTATCTTTCTTTGAAGGTCAGTTACTTCTGACTATATCTCTTAATCTTCCATTGGCAGTGAGAGTGGAGAAACGCATGGAGTCCAAATGCTGAAATGTGATAATTACCTGTCCTGGATGGTTACAGGTGCCAATTCATCTCTCACAGCTGCAGCTGTTGTAGTTACTGGGCTCATTGGAGCGAATTTTGTTCAGACAGTGCTTGATAACCTTCGCTTCCGTGATCCTATTGCTCGAGGAATTGCAACTGCATCTAGGTATGAACAATTTCACTACATTATAGATCCTTGTCCAATCAATTGTCTTTTTCTGCCTTTCCCTACAATGGTTATTAGGATAGCATAAAGCTTTAGTGTTTTTAGTTGCTTCAACTAGATGAATTATTAGCAGCATACCAAGCTTTCTGCTGTGGGATGTGTTGGTATCTATAAGTGTCACCGAGTAGATAAACTCAAAATCTTAAAAGCAGTCAAAGTAAAAAACTGCTACAAAAACGGTGTCCATGATATATAAAGTGTCATTCCTTTCAGATACTGCTAGGAATATCATCATGCATGTATGCTCAACAAATAGTAGATTTAAGCCTTTGTCGCAATTTAGGTTTTTTGATATATTTTCTGAAGAGTTGTGTGATTTTTTTTGTTGGGGGGGGGGGGGTTTGACAACTCAAGGGAACAATCTGAAAATTATAGCCCAATATTATGCTGGCATCATTTCTCAAAGTTGTTTCTTGCATTCTTGCAAAATTTGCTTTCTATGAAGTATCTATGAGTAACATGCTAAGGCATACTTGCACTCGTAACTGACTAATTTGTCTTGTACCCAATTCAACAAGAAATGTTATTGGAATTATCAGATAATAATATGGACCTGATCCTGCAAGAGAGGAAAAAATGGAATACAAGAAACACTTAATATTGTGTCTAGTAACACTTTCTCACCTCATTATTATCAGTCAAGTTCTATAGAACAAAGCTCCTGCAGAATCTCTCTCCAACCTCCTCTTTAATCTCTCTTCAAAATTTCCCCCAAAATATGTTTATCTGGAATTTCTCTTGATAAACTTAGCACTTCTTGGAGCACAATTTGATTTTGTGAATCTCAGGCAATCTTTTCAAGGCTTAATATGATTAAACTAAGAAATAGTTAATGAAGTTTTGGATGGTATATAACTGCATTTCTGTCACACTGCAAATAGCCATACTGATTAGAAAATGATCTGAAGTCAGTTATGTTGCGTGGACATGTAAACTTTGTCTCAATTCCGGTTGCTAAATGTACTTGCAGTTTGCCCTTGTCCTGATTCAAAACTTAAGCAGATCACCTTACTTGCCAAGAGCACCAATGTGACAGTTTTTATGTGCATAGTTCCAGTTGCCACATCCAAAATCTCCTTTATCAACTAATCGTAATTGAGAACTCATTGAGCCTTTCTTTCTTGTCTTTTTCCTTTATCATACTATGACAGTGCGCATGGCTTGGGAACAGCAGCATTGTCAGCAAAGGAACCTGAGGCTCTTCCATTTTGTGCCATTGCATATGGACTTACTGGCATATTTGGTTCTCTGGCTTGCTCCATTCCAGCAGTCAGACAAAGCTTGTTAGCAGTAGTTGGCTAAAACATCCAGCTGCCAGTGGAATATGTGAGCAGGGCATTGCCATACATGATCTGCTTATCACCTTGACACAATTAGAAAATTCTGAAGACTGGCTAAAAATTTGGCAATGTTTTAATGGAAATCCATAATCCTATCTGCTTTTTCTTCAACATAAGTTCTAAAGGGCACATTTCTGCTGCATTGGCTTATTACAGTACTAGCTAAATTGAGTAGATGAGTTAGCATAATTCGTCATGTGACAGCTGCCAAGAACTGCAACTAAGGATGATTTAGCTGCAAATGCGGCAGCACATATTTGATTTATCACATGGTGCATCTGCCATGAATCACAAGTGGAGGTGTTTTAGTCGGAAATTTGGTAGTACATACTATTTGATATATCAGATAGTGCCGGAGCCCAGAAAATATTTTGGTCGGAGAGCAAAAAGATTGGAGTTATTCTTGTTTTATGGTATGTAATAATAATATTTGCATCATAAGTTTAACAATTAGCGACATAAACAATCAATAAATAAAATAAGAGAATGTAAAGAATCATGTAATGCTCCGAAACCCATTAAAACACCCTCTTTTTTTGTTATATAGAATACAAAAAAAATTCTCTAAACGGTTGAATTTGTGCCTATAGTCCATTGTTTTGCCACTGAAAATTGTTATTAAATTACTTGTTGGCATATAATACTATAGAATTTCTACTCATGAGGGTTGGGTTCAGCGGCAGAAGAGGAAGTACAAGTGACAGATCTCGAATTCGAAATCTCTCATTTATACTAAAAAAAAAAAAAATTTCTATCCATTTCAATACCTTAAATGTATAATTTACTTTAGCCATTGAGGGCACATTGATAATTTAGTAGAGTAAAAAAAAAAAATGTTCTAAGAATTATACGTCTATTGAAAATTTTCTATGATCATGGATCACTGATATTAGATATTAAATAGATGTATATCTCTAAACAAAAGAACTTATACTATAATCTTTAATACTTATTCAATTCTTCATCGATCTAAGTTTATTTGAATATTTTAAATTGACGTAGCATTGTTATAATTTTATTATATAAACTTTAGTATGTTAGGTTCTTTAATAAGTAATGACTCGTATAAGAAAAAAAAAATACAATTCACTTGCAAATCCAAATAAAAACAATAATACTAGAAGTAAACAAAAGTCTTAAGTGTTAAACCAACTTTGATGAATATATTATGATATGAAAGCCAGTTCACCTTTATTTTGGTAAAGAAATATAATACTCTATATTTTCATTTGTTTTGTTGGCAAGCATGTGTTTATCTGCTTGTGGAATCAGAAAAATAAAACTTCAGGGTTATATATACAACTTTTAGAAATATTAAGTACTAAAATAAAACAGAGTAAAAAATTCAGGGACTAAACACTTGTACAATTTTCTCTTCCCTTTTAACAACACTGTGCATGTCACCCCACTTTGAGGACAGCAGCATTGAGATTCGGGAGACTTAAATGACTGATGCCAAAAAGAGTTCCTTTGAGATTATTACTACTCACAAGTATACCAAAAAATTTTCCATTCTTCCTCCCTGATGTGGAAAATAGTTGACAAAAGAAGGGTGTGAGTCAGTCACACATGCTGATCAAATTGCTCAGTTTTCTGCATGTGTAAGTTCTACTTTTCACCCAAGAATATGGTTCATAATTTTGTTCTTGCATCCATAAAATTTGGGGTTACTGCATTTTTTCACTGTTTGCTGGGATTTTTACCCTGAATGCTTTTAATGGTTATGACTAGTCTAATAGGAGCTATGGGATTATCTGGTGAAAGTCTGGAGTTTTCTTTATTTGTTGTGCATTTGCAAAATAATACTGCATTGATTTGATGCAGTTGTTTTTATAATTATCATCTTGTTTCTTCTATGCAGATGCTTTGAACTATTGCTGACTATTTCTTCATTTGAAGTGAAGAAAAAAGAAAGCAATATGGATGAACTTGAACTCTTTTTTTTTTTTTTTGTTCCCCTTTTATCTCTAGTTAAGTCATTTTTGTAAAAAATGGCACCTTTAAAAAAGAAAGAAGATAGAAACTTAAGAATGATGATCAGTATGACTGATTTAAGTTGCATTAAGCTTAGATGGTAACCCATTTCCCAATTTCAACTGCTTAAGTTTACCCCCAAAAAAAATTAATATACTAGTACAACTCTGGAAGAAAACTGGGAACTAATGATGCATGCAACAGGGATGTTTATGAGAAGTTAGTAGAAAAAGATAAACTTTTGCAGCTAGTTCAGTAACGAGGTTTGTTAAGTTTGATTTTATTTCTCGGTGTATTTGCTACCATCTGAATCCCAAGCATGTCCAGCATTGACACTATCTATTAAGTTCTGCAACATATGAAATCTGTAGTTTCAAAAAGTGATTTCCAGTAACATTATTTGTAAATCTGATCTTTCTTGCTGAATGCTTTCTGATTGTGTTGCCAATTGTACTCTATTATGTTTTTACTAGTTAAGTTGATAGTTGGGTCTCATAGATCTTCTTAGCACACTTGTGATCTGGAATTATAGGTAGCTACTATAAATGCTCCATATCAACTCAATTATCATGTGGCAATGATTTTAGATGCTGTGGGATGTTATAATCTCCTACCTACTGGCATGATGAAAATACTGAATATGAAGCAATTTGGTATTGTTTATTGAATCGGAAATTTGGGAAGATGATGCAAATTTGAAGCTTTGTTACTCATGATCTTCGGACCAACTTGAATATTATGTCTTCTTATCATTTCACTTTGTTACATATTTTTTTGGTCCGATATTAAGGTACTTCATCTTGCTATGCAATGCTAATGGATTTAGATGTTGATGCTTCGTATCAGTTTTGATGTATAGAACTTCCATTCACAAAGGGGCCGGTGTTCTGTACCAACAGTAGATGGGAAAATAACTACTCAGAATTCTGTGAGAGTTTGCACATCAAAGCTGTGGAGTTCTACCAAAACACACATGGTTGCCTTTTCCAAGAGATGCTCTATGGCATCTGAAGTTAATCACACAGAGCCACCGTTTCCACAATTTCCAGGGGCATATCCTGGGGCTTCCTTTTCCTGTAGCGGATTTGCTTTTCATCCTTCTCAAGCTACTCAAATGGACTCGAAGGCTGGCATTGCTGCAGTGCCCATTCGATCTGTTCCACCTTTACATGGACCAACAAAAAACAGATTTGTAACAAAGCCTGTCAAGATCAAGAAAAACTGGCCTCCGTCAAATGATGCGTGTCCTTCCAATAAGTCAAGGCCCAAACAGCCAAACAAGAAGCCTTCAACTACTAAGAAGACTAAGAGACCGCCTAAGGTTGGAGTAAACATTGAAAGGAAGAATCCAGATTTGGTATATGATGAAGCCAAGTTTGACTTTTCACGGGTGCCACCGCCATTTTGCTCTTGTACTGGAGTTGCTAGAGCATGCTACAAATGGGGATCTGGAAGCTGGCAGTCTTCCTGCTGCAATACAAACTTATCTCAGTATCCTCTGCCAATGAGTCCTTCAAGGCCAGGGGCTCGTGTGCCTGGAAGGAAAATGAGCCATGGAGCATACACAAAACTTCTTTGCAGATTTGCAACCGAGGGTTGCGATCTTTCACAACCAATCGATTTGAAGAACCACTGGGCTAAACATGGAACAAACAAGTTTGTTACAATCAAGTAAAAAGATGCAGCTGTTTTGACTGCCAATCATGCATCACCTTCTTTGTATAGCGGCAAGTTTTCTTTCTAGATGCTCTTTCAGCTATAAATATCCTAGGTACATGGCAGTAGACAGCCATGCTTTGGTTGTGTCAATGTTCGAATATTACCCTTTAGTTCTGTTGTCAATGTTCTTTGCGCTAGTCATGATCTGCTAGATGTCCCTTTTATGTTGGTCTCTTTTGGAGCTTGTTACTTTCTAAATTTTCCTTTGTAGTATTTAGTAGACAGGTTGGTGTCATCATTTTACTTCCTCTCTTGTGGCCGAATGGAGTTAAAAGTGTAAAATATCATTAACCAAACAAAACGCTGATGAGCATCAGAAACTGATTTATGACTTCACAAAAACTTACAAGCTGTTGATGAACTTTGTAAACTTAATCACTAAACCAATAGGGTTGTATTACAGTAGAAGTTTTCGCATTTAACGAAATATAATTGCAATCTGCCAAAGGCTGCAGTTGCCTATATCTTTTCCATTTCATTTCTTCTTTTGTTTCTTTATGGTACAAGTCTCACAGATTTGTGCTTCGAACACACACGTTTGGAGAGTTATCATTTAATGTCGACTGATACATGGAGCGGAGGAAAACTGATGGGAAAATTTTAGTGAAAAAGTTACGAAGAACAAGGGATCCCATGCATCTAGGAAGTTTTTAGGCCTTTGCTGTTTGCAATGCTTCAGCCCTGCTAGCAACAATTTGCTCGTAGAGATCTCTGATCTTCAACCCCACTATGGTCTGGAAGAGCCCTGTTCCGTTACTGCTGCCAGGGAAGTCGGCATGTTTCAACATCTGCTGAGTGACTTCACCATAGAACTTGCTGGAGATGTTGCTCAGGTGGCTTTCTACATAAATCAGCTCATCCAGTCTGTCAAATTGGCCATCCATTTCCACTACAGAAACCTGTCAGAAACAATAGCAGATTGATGAGAAAGGAAATGGTTATCCACAAAATCCCGTTTTCTAATCTCTTCCTAGAAATCACCTGCTGCGTAGAAACTTCTTTCAATCTCAAGCGCTAATTCGAGTTTGCACTATCGCCATACTACGCCTTTGTGACCTTGCACCCTGAACTTTCATTTTGATAATCCAATTGCCAAACTTTCATCTTTAAGTATTCTGATTCTTATCCAAAAATATGGTCTTTAACGTTAAATCGCTAATGTGACTCTAATCTAGCATGTGACATGCTGTTTAAATATGCCTGCAACTTTCTTCATCCAAGAATCAACATTGAACTCATGAATCTAGTTTAAGTTGATTATGGGAATTGGATTTAGTGTACCTCATTGCCAAAGTAAGTATCAGGACCATAGGCAAACTTGATGCCAGGGTAAGAGCATGTTAACTTCCTCCCACATGGAATCCAAGAAATTGTAGAGCCTTCATCGAACAGGTAAACTGGGCTGAAATGATTCACCCCTTCTTTTTGTATCAACTTTACTCTCAAAACCTTCCCCTCATTATCATCAGGAATGAGTTGTGTTGGCAAAACTTCAATGACAACATCAGCATACTGCTTCTGTGGGTCTGATCCACCACAACATAACACCAAGCAAAATTCAATTCTGTGTAAGTATAGCCTTTGAGTTTCTAACATAACATCTGTTTGACTATAGCACAGTTTAGGTAAGCATTTGTCAAACCAAGTCTTGAAACTTTTTATGTTGTAGAAAGTTTGAAGAAGAGGGAAAAAAGATATAATTTTTATTTTGACCCCAGATTTATTTTCCTATTAACTTTGTTTTAGAGGGCAATTTGATAATCTCGCCATTATTTCAAATAAATAGTTTCACTATTTAATATAAGGAGAAATTAACCGTTTCACTTTAATCGCAAATCGTAGGAATTCAAACGTAGGTTTCCAAATTTTAGGGAGTTCATAATAACATAACCAAGAAAACATTTTTTTTTTAATATATCTATTGCTTAGAAGAACTATCATCTTGTTGCCAAAGAGGTAAAAGCAATACTAGCAAATGAGGTAGTTTTATGAGCTGATGATGAAGGAGAAAATAAGAAACTTACCAATGTAGGCATCAAAATCTGGCTTCCGGGCTTCAATACTGGCCTTAATACTTTCAAGGCTGTGTCCTCTCTCGGCCATGTCCCTCTGCATTTGCCATAGAATATGATCAGATCAAAGGAGACAATTGGAAGTATATATACCATTATTGAAACATCAGAAGAAAAAAAAAAAGTTATTTACCTGGATTTTCCATGCAAATTTGACCTCGCTACTAATATCCAGGTAGATACTGAAATCCAATATGTCTCTTACACGCTGATCATACCTATGTTTTACATGAAGGTCAGAATCTGGATACTGAAACATCTGTTTTGGATTTTTTGACCACCAATTGAAATTTCTGAAAAAGTTTAATAATCTCCTCCATCCAATTGAATCTTCAAGTCAATTTCATATTGTCTTATGCTGTCTGAACCAAAAAAAATAAATAAATAAATAAAAAATTTTCCTATGCCACCACTAAGTTTTTTCCTATGGCTTAACAAAAAATTTTTTGTTAAAATCATGGGTTATGTTGCTTGGCCACTTGCAAACAGCCAATTTTGTTTGAATAAAATTATCTTCTGAAAATTGAAAAATTACGAGGATGCAAGTAGGAGAATGTCACTAGTTGTAAGGTTGAGATATTATGAATTAGAGGTTCTAAGTCTCATGAAATGTCGGTTGATCCTCACTATAAACTATAAAGGTTAGTCTCCCTTTCACTATTTGTGTATTATTTATTGCAATGCTGTATACTTAGTTGCTTAGTTATAACCCGTATGTATTGATCCCATCATCGTGGAATATTTGTAAGGATCAATTTTCCATTCACCCACAGTATATATACTTTCACCATTAGATACACGATACATAATTAGAATTTGAATTAAAAATTTAAATTTTACATATGTGTCGTATTTTCAGCCGTAATAATGTATACATCGTCTCTGTATATAAAATTTACTCTATTTGTAATCCTATATTTAAAAAAAAAATTCAAGTTCCTAGTCTAATGGTAGTTTAAGAAAAGAATAAAATAGGATAAAAATATTTTTAAAAAAAAAGATGCTAAAGAATAAAGAATATTTAAATTCTTGAAAAAGAAAAAGTAGAATGTTTATAAAACAATAGAAAATAAATAGTATATGTAACTGTATAATCTGTACGGGGCCCCACTAAAGGGTGTGGGCCCAACAAGAAAAGAAAACGATGAAACTATCTAACTTCCTCGACCATACAATGGAATTAACATCCTTAGCTGAAGATAGCGTTATCGCATTAATCCATCACATGCTCACTGATCACTGATTTTCCAATTTTATCTTATTCCAACGTACCAAAACTAACTTTCGGCCAAAAAAAAAAAGAAAAAAGAAAAAATCTGTTTGGTTTTCTCTTTTTTAACTTTTTTGTAAAAAAAAGAAAAAAGAAAAGTGGATTGTGCTGCTCTATTTCTATGTACAATTGTACACTCAAGTCCCATAGAGGAAAAAATAATGGGCTAAATAAAAACAAAAAAAAAAAAAATTTGTATGTGTTTACATTGCTTGTAATGTGCATGAAGTGCAGCTTAAATGATAAGCTGCTGAACTTGTTACCTATAAGTTCCAAGTTCGAGTGACTGAAGTTATAGACAGAATTCACTACTCATTCTGTTAATCAGAAGAAGGAAAAAAATATATATGATGGAAACTTACATTGGATGTAATCCTTCAATGACAAGGATCTTGGGAGGCTTGATGAGCTCAGGAGGGTCAAGAAGACCGGTAACATGGTTATAAATAGGCTTATCAACAGCAACACCATCTTTAATGGCCTTAACTTGTTCATACATAAGATCAAAGTTATTGGCTCTGGGGTCAAGTGCAGTGACACCCTTTTCTTTCCTTCCAGTTCTATCAAGAGAATGGTAATCATCTAAGCATATGACGGTGGTCGTGTCACTGATGAGTGTGTTGGAATCAGGGTTGCCGCCCCTTGGTGGCTCAGCCGCACCTCCGAAAACGCTTGTTAATCTTCTCATGAAAGTACTCTTCCCACATCCTGAGTCTGCTGCTAAGCCTATAACAACTGTTTTCTCAGCTGAGCACGTTATCTCACTGCTGCTTCTCCTGCTGCTGCTGGTGTTTATTCTCTTGCTGAAGAATAAGACTTGCTGTTTTTGGCTAAATCCCAAGTGGGATTTTGTTGGTGTTGAGATTGAGCATGAGGAGTTGAGGGGTTGAATTGTATGGACTGTTGAAACAGCCATTTTTTTTCTTTTCCTTCTTGTTCTTGGCCCCCTCTCTCTCTCTCTTTACTCAGAGAATTTTGGGAGAGAGCAAGGTGTTAATATTATGCGGTTGTATATGAAGTGAACTTTTTAGTTGGCTTGGTACCCTTTGTTGAGAAATGATAAAAAAAAGGCTTGAGACACAGAATGAAAGAAGAGGCCATGGTTGGAGACGCAGATGGCCGTTTTGTTTTGTTTGGATAGGAAAGAGTGTGGTTTTGATGAGGGATGGCTGCTGATGTGGCTAGTGTTTTATGGGTTTGTGTGACTACCCCTTGGGATATTGAGGTCAAAATGGAGGGGACATAAATGGGTTTTGAAGGTGTTCTAGGGACGTTAATGTAACTGCATTTTGTATCTGTTCAAAGTGAAGGGTACACATTTTCTGATTTATCCCTTGCTCACAGCGTAGATCCCGGACGTGAAATGTTGATGCGTTGATAGATGATGATGATGAGGAGATAGAAGTTTTTGTGATAAATATGGGCATGGAGAAGTATGGTGGTCATTTATTCAATTTGGATATTTCCTCTACCACGTGGCATCAAAGTGATGGTATGTTGAAGATGAGGGGGGAAGAAAGTGTGGATTGGAGGTCCAAATGGATCCCGTCAAGCAACCAAATGTATTTGTTGAACTTTGGACGCCAGTTCAGTGCGCATTAGCACCCTTTTTTTTGGCTCCCTCCCGTGGAATGGACAGTTTTTACCCATCATCACCATTCCTCAATAATAAATTGCAAAAATGAAGATTCAAAATTCAACTTCCTATTATTTAGGGGGGGGGGAAAATCACTTTCATATCATTCCCCATTGCATTAAACTAATCCCACATAAATCAAATTTCAACACCGGTTCAGATTTCGCGAAAATTCTGCCAATTCCAGACTATATATAAACACAACCCCTCACGTACCTTGCAACAAACAAAATCCCATGACAACAATGCCATCAATTTTTCATTTCAATTCCAAAATTACCGCACCAACAACCCCATCCTGAAATTTTTCCAATTCCCAAATCTAAGCCAAAATTAGTAAAAACAATCCCACAATTCACGGCCAGATTTGAAATACTTAACAATTGAAAAACTCTAAAAATAGGCAGATCTAAGAAGGGCAACATTGGAATTCCGAAAAAAAATACAGTGGCGGTTACCGAAAACGGATTGACTTCTTGCTCTTCTTCATCAAATGGATTTGGATCGCTACTCCGATTCATCGTCCTAAGTGAATTCAAAATATTTCCGGCAAAAATCAACCACAAAAAAGCAGGAAAATGAATCTATACAGAATGAGAAGGGAAATGTAGATATATGTATTGGTAGAGAGAGAAAGTGAGGAAGCGAGTAACGGAGCACTTAAAACTACTCAGAGTGATTAGTGACGCAAATCCGATGCATCCTCTGTTTGCTTGTGTATAACGCGGGAGCATCAACTAGAATGTAACTGAGGTAGATTTACATTATTACCCTCGAGGATGATCTGAATTACGGGTGTGGACTGTGGGTGATCTTTTTCGGTGAAGTTTTGCTATGGTGTGATGGGATTCTGTCAATTGCGAGAGTGTCTCGTGACTGATTGTGGACACGTGGGTTTATAATGACGCTTCTGAGGTTATGAGGTGGGTGGTTTTATTGGTTGATTGGAGGTTAGGGTGTTTTGTGTGTAGAAGATTATGTCTACTGCGTTGCTGACGTGTAAAGCATTGCAAAGACTGTTAAGGTGACGCAAGCAATTCGGTAAGAAAGCAGGGAGTTCCTCAAGGGAAAAGTCGGTGAGGTGTCGACAATGAGTGATTTCTTTTTTTTTTTCCCAATCGACGTAAATGTGACAGGCCATATGTTGTTGTACTTCTACCACAATGAAAAAGAATAATGTCAACATAGGCACAATGAAAACAATATCAACTTTTGAATTGTTATTTGTAGAAAAAGCTTATAGTAGTAATTTAATGTATATAAAGTAGAAAATATGTGAAAAATATGTTGTGAAAAACGTAAATTTTTTTTGTAAAAAATCACAATCCAAACAAATTTGAGTATCTCTTCCAAAAAATTTTTGAAAAACTTATAACTACAAAAATCTCAATAAATTCTCCAAAGTTTTTGAAATACATATATTAAAATACCTAAAAATACACAAAAAAAAAAAAATTTCCCTTGTTTCCTTTTTTGTTTTCCTCCCCACCATGACGTCTATTGTCGTGTGGCTCCTCTATTTTCTTTTTTTTTTTTCCTTTCTTTCTTTCTCCTCCCCTCCCCCCCCCCCCCAAAAACTCTCTTTCATATTCCATAATTGGAATGACATTATTTTTGTAGCCAACATTTCGTGGTGACGTCCTTTTCATCTGTTTTGGATCTTGAGAGTGCCAGCTGGTGTCTGTATAGAGAAAGGAAATATGTTGCAGATTTCTTGGATAAAATGAGCTTAAACTTACAGCCTGGTTTGACTTGGGAAAATATAAAAAGACAAAGAAAAGTTGTGTGAGTATTCAATTTCACCAATCAAGAAAGATCAATCCATAAACAATTAATTAGTCACCTAGCTTCACCGTACTGTAAAATGCAAAACTAATATGCAAATGCGAGGTGCCTTCTGTCGGCAACAAGTGCAAAAACACCCCCATAGGATGACAGATACATTTACCACATAAAGAGAAGAAAAAATGTAAAAGAGGAGAACCCTCTTCATCTACAGTTGTTCAGCTCATCAAATCAAATGATTCTATTCATGGTCCTTTCTTTGAGCTCATTTTGCAAGCATTGCACCCCCCACCAACCTAGCCTAGGGGGCCTATAGATGTGGATTCACTGCCTAAGTTACATATGAAGGCTCCAAGTATCCTGTCAACCTTGTCAAAATTAAGGGTGCAAACGAATCGAGACGAGTTAAACTTTGATTTAATCGAGCCGAAACTCAACCTTAGTTTATGAAGCTCAGATTCGAGTTTTGAGCTCGACAAGTTCAAATTAAGATTCAAACTCGACTCAAATTCGCGTCAAACTCGAGACCGAACTTAAAAAAATAATTATTTTATTTTTAAAAACAAATTTATTATTTTTAAACTCGAATTGGAGCTCGAGTTTGACTTGATCAGCTTGAGCTCGACTCGAGCTTGATGTTGACTGAACTTGAGTTAAACATCGAGCTCGAGTCGAGTTCGAACTCGAGCCACTCGCGCGAGCAGATCGATTCGTTTGTAACCCTAGTCAAAACGCAAATGTCATGCCAGCGAGAAAAAGCTGTCCTAGGGGTCTGCTTAGACTTATTATACCTTGAAGTTCATGCAATCATCTGATTTAGAAACTTCAAGTTTAATCCACATTCATGTTTCAGGCCAAATTACGAAACTATCTTGCTGGTCCAGTACAGTTGAGAATTAGATAGCCACGAGTCTTGTAATATGGGCCATCTCAAAGGTCATCAAGGTTGGTCAACTCATCATTGTCCCAGCAGATTGCTGGTAGCTCTTCTTCTGAGTTTGCTTCTGGAAGATCTGAAGCTTCTTCCAAGGCTTTTTCTAGAGCATCTGCCAAAGAAGGTTCCCATATACTGAGTTCACAGACTCTTTTATAAGTTCTATAGCATGCAGCTCTCAGACCTTCTGAGATCATGTCCTTGATAGGCTCGCAGTTTGTTCCACCAGAATTCATTACCTTCAAAAATCTCTCAGCAAAGCCAGGAGCCCAGAAAACAACAATTGCACAATTCCTATCGGCTAGTCGAACATCAATTTCTCCAGAGAACACTTCATGAGAACCTTTAAGCAGGCTCTTCAGCTTGCGAGCAGACATCATACCTCTAAATCCCCACAAGAACACCAAATTTGCAACACTAATTCTTCTAGTTTTTTCAGTTGAAATGTTTACATCATCATCTAAAAGATCTGATGAACTGATGAAGCAAGGATTGAAGACATTTGCATAGCATTCAAGGGTGGAGGAGGAAGTGGAATAATCAGCTTCCGGAGATTCTGGAACAATTCTCAATATTAAACAGAGCTTGGCAAATAACTCACTTATCCTTAGAACATCACGCCCATGAACCCTGACTTCATCTCCATCAACTAAAAGAACAAAATGTGACAAGTCAGGATTTGTAGAAACCATGCGATGACAGCAAGCCATGCAGAAAATAATAGCGCCAGGTCAAGTGCAAGCACAAAAATCCATTATGAAGATTCCTTTAGCAATTTCAGATACCTTGACCGATTCTAGAGGCCAAGCATCAGAGAAGTAATATGCATTGCGAACCACTACCGGTCAGACTAAATTTGATAAGTGACAAAATCCAAAAGAATACTCACTATGTTGAGGAATCTCCATGTGTAGCGGCCTAGTGAACCTTCTTTTCAAATATAAAATTGCTGCAGGTAGGTTGTTTACTTTATTCAGAGGACCAATTTCCCTCATAAGATGGTTGACATCAACTATATGAGAAAACACTGAACACAAGGAACTCCTAAATTCATCTACTGTTGAAGGCAATGGAGCTATGAACTTTGAATGGATAAATGCAAATTCTGCATGAAATCAGCAAAAGAAGGTGTCAAATAACAGTGGAAGCTGAAATGAAAGAAACATTACCACATAGAGACACAAACCATTGATAGCATTATGGGCTACAACTGGCTTCTGAGAAGTGGAAATCAAATCGACAACCTCCCTGAACCCACGAACCTGCATATTATGTTCCTCTTCCATGAGTTGTAGTTCCTTCTGCAAATTGAAAATCAAAACTCAGTAAAGCTGGTGGAACATCACCACACCATTTGGGACTAAAATCTCCTTGAAGATCTAGGATTCTTGACTATTATAATACTAAGCTTCAAGCAACGCTTAAATTTTCTTGAAGTGACAATTGACTCTTCCTGGATACCTCAAAAACGTTTCTGTCCTCTTTGAACTGGTCAAAACAACCCGAATAGCCTGGCTACCACCTACCTTTGCTGGAACCAATAATGGCACAAGATCAGTAAACTCCTGTAACGTCTGCAGACCACAAGCTATATTGAATAAGCATGAGCACAAATATTATAAACTCATCTAATTGCAACAGAGATTGAATAACTAGGCACCTAATAACACATAAACTCAATCTGTTCAAGCTTATTCACCTCCAGTATAAGCTGCACTTGACGTTCACTGCAGATATCTATGCTCAAGCTTGGTCTTGAGCCAAACACTTCACCTCCCGAGACTATTTTTCTCAAAGTACTAATCAAGTCATCTGCAAAAGCAGATGTAATAAAATTTGGTTTAGGGTAAAGTATTGACCTTAATTACAGCATTCATATGTGAGACTGAAATATTTGTATAATTGCTAAAGAAATGCTATTGTCATAATAGACCAATTGCAATCAGAACATGTTGGAGCTGAAGTGAAACTATAACTAAACATTCAAAAAGTAAGGGATTCATAAACTTTATGAAAAACAAAGGAGCCAATTTTTCCCCTTCCTGTGGAAAGTGAAGACCAAAAGCATAAACTAAAAAAACAAATAGAGATATCAAGCTATGCCTGTTGATCTGCCATAGAGCTTGCAAGTGGTTATTTTTCCCCAAGCATCTTGTGAACAAATGTCGAGGGATGTAACCAATATTTATAACTTTTGTTTACACCTCATCCTGTTTTTCTTCCCCTCTTGACAACATTTCTTAAACCAACATGATTGTACTTGTTTGATTTCTGTCTTATCCAAATAATAGAAAAGAAAATCTGCAATATTTATGCTCCTTCACTTTAAGAACTTTTGTGTTCCACCTATTTGGCTAGACAAGGATTAAAACCAACCAGAAGTGTAAATCATGCAATCAAAGATCAGAAAAAATCATTGTGCAACAACTATCAAACAATAAAAAGAACATACCTAACCAACTAGCAAAAGCTAAATACTGCAACCTCTGAGCATGAACAGGGATTTCATTGGCTATATCATGATGAATAATAGGAAAAAAGGGAGGCCAATTTCTGTCATCAGCGGGGACACCAGCTGAATTTGAACATTGGAACAAATTCAAAATCTTAGTAAATGGAAAACAGAAACACAGATAAATCATACTCCATTGTCAGACAGCTTACCACTGGCAACAGCATCTTCTCTGCGTTTGATATCCTACAAGGACAAGCTAATGAGTACCATGCACAAGTAACATGCTGAATGCCAAGTTTACAAGCAGTAACCAAGTATAGTTAAAATGATTCTACTAACCAAGTTAACATCATCTCAAATTGACTCAATTTTTTTCAAGCTTGACTGAGTTTAGCTTTCAAGTACAACAAAGGCAAAGAAAAACAGCACTGATAAAATATTTTCCCAAGAACAGCCATGATTAAATAAACTAGAAACGCACCCTTTCCCTCCTTTTAATATCTGCTTCCCAATCAGCAAGCTCCTTCTGTTTTTTCTTTGAATCCTGCCGGATTTAACCAAATGATGCAAATGCTTGACTTTTGGTAGCGACAAAGAAGATAAAATTGTATAAAATATATTCACTTCATTACATTCATTGAGTCCAAGGGTATATCAACAGTCGCGTCATGTTTTGGGCCAAAACCCAGAGTATTGCTGACAAATTGAGGAACACGCGACTTTGATCCAGGAGCAGCATTACCCTTCTGCAATTAACAAAACCAAATGGCATGATAAGACAACATATTGCAGTTGAGTACATGGGTAAAAGAGTGAAAATCACACGCATACAAACAGAAATTTAATTGCATACTCAATTGCCTTCCAACTCCCACACCACACGAAGCATGGCAGTAGCCAAAAGACCTTTATTAGACCAATTCTGAAGCATACAACATCCCTATTGAGCACTTCTTACTCGAATAAGGTTTCTGAATTTCCAATCGGAAGAGCTAGAATATTACTTTGTTGAGCTTTAATCACCCAATATACAAGGACAGGCACTTTGTAATGAACCAATCTTAGTATATCCATTTTGGAAATACAAAATGTTTTTAAAATGAAACAACTATATCATAAAATGCCATAAGAAAGATAGAACCATATCTTAATATATCCATTTTGGAAAAAAAAAATGTTCTACTGCACAAAAGATACTAGGATCAAAACACTTCTTGCTGTATATACTGGTTAGCAGTCAGAAGAATCTATCACATAATGCCAAGACCAGGTCACGAGAGAAGTAACTTTTACGCATAAGAGAGGTGGTTTTTCCCAAGTATGATGCCTAATGTACTTCAATGTCACCATGGCACATAAATCACACCAGTATAGAAATATACCGTAATACATACATATATATTTGGAAAAAATACAAAAAATTTCCACCACACAAAAGATACTAGGATAAAAATCTTCTCCACACATATTACAGGACCATTCATTCAAATCCAACAACAAAATGATCAAAAACCCACTTTAGCATATTCATTAATTATATACCAAATAAAAAAATTAAGAGCAACAATAATACTTTCAAATTTAATTGAAACCTTATGTTGCTAACATAATTTAATTCTTATTTTATATCTTATAAAATTATTAGTTAACAGCCCCCTCCCCCCCAAAGCCAAAAAAAAATCCCAAAAATCATTTATTTCAACTCCTATGTATTTTAGATTGCTTTAATTTTTTTTTTTGGCTCCCTCCCCGTGGAATGGACAGTTTTTACCCATCATCACCATTCCTCAATAATAAATTGCAAAAATGAACATTCAAAATTCAACTTCCTATTATTTAGGGGGGGGGGGGGGAAATCACTTTCATATCATTCCCCATTGCATTAAACTAATCCCACATAAATCAAATTTCAACACCGGTTCAGATTTCGCGAAAATTCTGCCAATTCCAGACTATATACAACACAATAACCCCTCACCTACCTTGCAACAAACAAAATCCCATGACAACAATGCCCATCAATTTTTCATTTCAATTCCAAAATTACCGCACCAACAACCCCATCCTGAATTTTTCCAATTCCCAAATCTAAGCCAAAATTAGTAAAAACAATCCCACAATTCACGGCCAGATTTGAAATACTTAACAATTGAAAAACTCTAAAAATAGGCAGATCTAAGAAGGGTAACATTGGAATTCCGAAAAATACAGTGGCGGTTACCGAAAACGGATTGACTTCTTGCTCTTCTTCATCAAATGGATTTGGATCGCTACTCCGATTCATCGTCCTAAGTGAATTCAAAATATTTCCGGCAAAAATCAACCACAAAAAAACAGGAAAATGAATCTATACAGAATGAGAAAGGGAAATGTAGATATATGTATTGGTAGAGAGAGAGAGAGTGAGGAAGCGAGTACGGAGCACTTAAAACTACTCAGAGTGATTAGTGACGCAAATCCGATGCATCTCTCTGTTTGCTTGTGTATAACGCGGGAGCATCAACTAAGAATGTAACTGAGGTAGATTTACATTATTAACCCTGGAAGATGATCTGAATTACGGGGTGTGGCCCGTGTGGGTGATCTTTTTCGGTGAAGTTTTGCTATGGTGTGATGGGATTCTGTCAATTGTGAGAGTGTCTCGTGACTAATTGTGGACACGTGGGTTTATAATGACGCGTCTTCTGAGGTTATGAGGTGGGTGGTTTTTATTGGTTGATTGGAGGTTAGGGTGGTTTTGTGTTGTGTAGAAGATTATGTCTACTGCGTTGCTGACGTGTAAAGCATTGGCAAAGACTGTTAAGGTGACGCAAGCAATTCGGGTAAGAAAGCAGGGAGTTCCTCAAGGGAAAAGTCGGTGAGGTGTCGACAATGAGTGATTTCTTTTTTTTTTTTTTCCCAATCGACGTAAATGTGACAGGCCATATTGTTGTTGTACTTCTACCACCACAATGAAAAGAATAATGTCAACATAGGCACAATGAAAACAATATCAACTTTTGAATTGTTATTTGTAGAAAAAGCTTATAGTAGTAATTTAATGTATATAAAGTAGAAAATATGTGAAAAATATGTTTGTGAAAAACGTAAAATTTTTTTTGTAAAAAATCACAATCCAAACAAATTTGAGTATCTCTTCCAAAAAATTTTTGAAAAACTTATAACTACAAAAATCTCAATAAATTCTCCAAAGTTTTTGAAATACATATATATTAAAATACCTAAAAATACACAAAAAAAAAAAAAATTTCCCTTGTTTCCTTTTTTGTTTTCCTCCCCACCATGACGTCTATTGTCGGTGGCTCCTCTATTTTCTTTTTTTTTTTTTCCCTTTCTTTCTTTCTCCTCCCCTCCCCCCTCCCCCCCCAAAAAACTCTCTTTCATATTCCATAATTGGAATGACATTATTTTTGTAGCCAACATTTCGTGGTGACGTCCTTTTCATCTGTTTTGGATCTTGAGAGTGCCAGCTGGTGTCTGTATAGAGAGAAGGAAATATGTTGCAGATTTCTTGGATAAAATGAGCTTAAACTTACAGCCTGGTTTGACTTGGGAAAATATAAAAAAGACAAAGAAAAGTTGTGTGAGTATTCAATTTCACCAATCAAGAAAGATCAATCCATAAACAATTAGATTAGTCACCTAGCTTCACGTACTGTAAAATGCAAAACTAATATGCAAATGCGAGGTGCCTTCTGTCGGCAACCAAGTGCAAAAACACCCCCATAGGATGACAGATACATTTACCACATAAAGAGAAGAAAAAATGTAAAAGAGAGAACCCTCTTCCATCTACAGTTGTTCAGCTCATCAAATCAAATGATTCTATTCATGGTCCTTTCTTTGAGCTCATTTTGCAAGCATTGCACCCCCCACCAACCTAGCCTAGGGGGCCTATAGATGTGGATTCACTGCTAAGTTACATATGAAGGCTCCAAGTATCCTGTCAACCTTGTCAAAATTAAGGGTGCAAACGAATCGAGACGAGTTAAACTTTGATTTAATCGAGCCGAAACTCAACCTTAGTTTATGAAGCTCAGATTCGAGTTTGAGCTCGACAAGTTCAAAATATAAGATTCAAACTCGACTCAAATTCGCGTCAAACTCGAGACCGAACTTAAAAAAATAATTATTTTATTTTTAAAAACCAAATTTATTATTTTTAAACTCGAATTGGAGCTCGAGTTTGACTTGATCAGCTTGAGCTCGACTCGAGCTTGATGTTGACTGAACTTGAGTTAAACATCGAGCTCGAGTCGAGTTCGAACTCGAGCCACTCGCGAGCAGATCGATTCGTTTGTAACCCTAGTCAAAACCGCAAATGTCATGCCAGTCCGAGAAAAAGCTGTCCTAGGGGTCTGCTTAGACTTATTATACCTTGAAGTTCATGCAATCATCTGATTTAGAAACTTCAAGTTTAATCCACATTCATGTTTCAGGCCAAATTACGAAACTATCTTGCTGGTCCAGTACAGTTGAGAATTAGATAGCCACGAGTCTTGTAATATGGGCCATCTCAAAGGTCATCAAGGTTGGTCAACTCATCATTGTCCCAGCAGATTGCTGGTAGCTCTTCTTCTGAGTTTGCTTCTGGAAGATCTGAAGCTTCTTCCAAGGCTTTTTCTAGAGCATCTGCCAAAGAAGGTTCCCATATACTGAGTTCACAGACTCTTTTATAAGTTCTATAGCATGCAGCTCTCAGACCTTCTGAGATCATGTCCTTGATAGGCTCGCAGTTTGTTCCACCAGAATTCATTACCTTCAAAAATCTCTCAGCAAAGCCAGGAGCCCAGAAAACAACAATTGCACAATTCCTATCGGCTAGTCGAACATCAATTTCTCCAGAGAACACTTCATGAGAACCTTTAAGCAGGCTCTTCAGCTTGCGAGCAGACATCATACCTCTAAATCCCCACAAGAACACCAAATTTGCAACACTAATTCTTCTAGTTTTTTCAGTTGAAATGTTTACATCATCATCTAAAAGATCTGATGAACTGATGAAGCAAGGATTGAAGACATTTGCATAGCATTCAAGGGTGGAGGAGGAAGTGGAATAATCAGCTTCCGGAGATTCTGGAACAATTCTCAATATTAAACAGAGCTTGGCAAATAACTCACTTATCCTTAGAACATCACGCCCATGAACCCTGACTTCATCTCCATCAACTAAAAGAACAAAATGTGACAAGTCAGGATTTGTAGAAACCATGCGATGACAGCAAGCCATGCAGAAAATAATAGCGCCAGGTCAAGTGCAAGCACAAAAATCCATTATGAAGATTCCTTTAGCAATTTCAGATACCTTGACCGATTCTAGAGGCCAAGCATCAGAGAAGTAATATGCATTGCGAACCACTACCGGTCAGACTAAATTTGATAAGTGACAAAATCCAAAAGAATACTCACTATGTTGAGGAATCTCCATGTGTAGCGGCCTAGTGAACCTTCTTTTCAAATATAAAATTGCTGCAGGTAGGTTGTTTACTTTATTCAGAGGACCAATTTCCCTCATAAGATGGTTGACATCAACTATATGAGAAAACACTGAACACAAGGAACTCCTAAATTCATCTACTGTTGAAGGCAATGGAGCTATGAACTTTGAATGGATAAATGCAAATTCTGCATGAAATCAGCAAAAGAAGGTGTCAAATAACAGTGGAAGCTGAAATGAAAGAAACATTACCACATAGAGACACAAACCATTGATAGCATTATGGGCTACAACTGGCTTCTGAGAAGTGGAAATCAAATCGACAACCTCCCTGAACCCACGAACCTGCATATTATGTTCCTCTTCCATGAGTTGTAGTTCCTTCTGCAAATTGAAAATCAAAACTCAGTAAAGCTGGTGGAACATCACCACACCATTTGGGACTAAAATCTCCTTGAAGATCTAGGATTCTTGACTATTATAATACTAAGCTTCAAGCAACGCTTAAATTTTCTTGAAGTGACAATTGACTCTTCCTGGATACCTCAAAAACGTTTCTGTCCTCTTTTGAACTGGTCAAAACAACCCGAATAGCCTGGCTACCACCTACCTTTGCTGGAACCAATAATGGCACAAGATCAGTAAACTCCTGTAACGTCTGCAGACCACAAGCTATATTGAATAAGCATGAGCACAAATATTATAAACTCATCTAATTGCAACAGAGATTGAATAACTAGGCACCTAATAACACATAAACTCAATCTGTTCAAGCTTATTCACCTCCAGTATAAGCTGCACTTGACGTTCACTGCAGATATCTATGCTCAAGCTTGGTCTTGAGCCAAACACTTCACCTCCCGAGACTATTTTTCTCAAAGTACTAATCAAGTCATCTGCAAAAGCAGATGAAACAATAAATTTGTACATAAGTAGTTCAAAATATATTGTTTTGAAAAACATCAAATGCAATGACTGACATACTGCTCACCTTCAGTCTTCTTTTCTGAATCTTGACATGTCCTTTTCCAGATTTTAATTCGAGATTTAATCCTGTCTACAAACATAGAATCAGCAACAGAATATACTGTAGGAGATTGAGACGGTTTCATATAGCTTCTAGGCAATGGGTTTCCAGTCCTATCTTTTGCAGCTAATTCTTGAGCTCTCGATAAGTATGATATGCCTGTTCCAAGATAAAGAACCAAGGAGTAACTTTGCAATCAAGAATGATCCTCAGTATAGACACAACTAGTACAACAAGAATGTTAACAAAAGCTCGGAAGGTAGAATTAGGAACTTCTATTCCACCCATGGTTTATTTTCTTTGCAGAGGAGGGATGGGGGCTGTTAAACGTTATCTAGACAGGGAGAGTTTGGTTTTAATTTACTGATAGACAGAAGATTATTATGTAAAGTTCAAAAATTCAAAGTAAAAAAGTATGCATAGTGGATAGCTATGCATAAAGTAAATGAACAGTTGTATTTACTTTTTTTTTTTTTTTTGTTGGCGCCGGGGAGGGGGGGAGGCGGAATCTCAGCAGATATCCCCTCAGCCCCATCCATGCAAGCAAGAAACATTGAGGGAAAATACATAAAAATGATGAATCACGTCCCTGTTAAATTGTCTAAAACAAAATTCCTGCTAAATTTACTTACCATCATATATGCAGGCATTAAAATCAAAACCTTCTTGAGCCATAGCGGTTAAGTACGATGATTGACAGAAAAAGCTGTAAGAAGGCATCCCCATTTTTAACTCATCCCTGGGGAACAAATGAAAATTGTACCTACACCAAGTGACCAGGATTGGATGAATCACTGTAATTTTACTGTCTCAAGATTTATGAGCTATATGGCCAAACATTATCATTTTTTGGCTAGCCGTAAGCAACAACTAAGTCTGGCAAGCAACCAAAGAAATAGGCTGAAGGCATGCTCATGCAGATGTGCAAGCAGAGCTCAAGCTTGTATTTACTGAAGAGTTATCCTCAAGAAGACACAGTTGACAAAATTTTGAACATAAATAAGAACTTATTAGGAAGCTAAAAATCACAGAGAGCCACAAAAAATAAAAGAAGAATAAGTAAAATCAAACAACCTATCCTTCTCTTTTGCACCAATCAACAAATTAATCAGAATGACAAGAACCACACGAAACATGGCATTATGTGAGGCTTTCTTTCTCATATTGTCATTTGCTCGGATTACTTGGGCATGGCTGGAGTATTTCCTATTAGTTAATACATGATCATGACCTCTTCACTTGATCCCCTTCAGACAAAAAGATTATCGAACCTAATTAAACATCACTTGACTTTTCCACTTCAAGAAATCAGAGCTAGAACAGTCCTTATAACAGGATAAACTCCTTTTACCATGCCTATCGACCGTACCATTAGATACATTAGAGCACCTAATATTACCTCAAAGCTCTACAACACCCAAAAAGACCAAGCTATTGATGGTTCTAAAGATAAGCTACACATGTTCCCCTTTATAGGCAGAAACCTTCACAAATATCCAAGTTACACCAACTTTTTATAAGGTTTACTCCATATACCATTATGAAATCATCTTGAATGCAATCTTGTTTGTGAAAGATATCAATTTCAACCAACAATCTTGAAAATTGGCTCCCCCACTTTCAAGTATGAACTACCAAAATTTGTCAAATGCGACAAACAAACTGAATCAATAAACTGCCCATAAGAAAAAATCAAACTACAAATGCTATAAAGAAAACAAGGAGGGTCTTACGGGTGAGCAATAATCTTGGAAGATTTAACAGAAAAAGGGCAAACAGCAAACTGAAGGACCTGAAACCTCTCGGCTGCATACTTAGCTTTAAGGTAAGCAACCTCAGCAGTATCAAAGGGCAAAACTTTTTGCCAAGGAGATGAAAAAGCACCAGTCTTTTGCAAAGAAACAGCAATAAAATCAGAATTAAAGATGTGGGTTTTGATCTCCTCTAACGTCTCTGCGAAGTTGGATTTTGTTACTTGCTTTATCGCCCATTTCTTGTTGTTGAGATTGGAGTTTTGATGGTGGGTTGGGTGGATTGAACGTTTTGGAACTTGGGTGCAGAGAAGGCGTCTCTGCAACAACATCGAAAGCTTTCTGCAAATGAGCAGGGATGGGTTTGGGGGAGTAGTGTTGGGGGGTTTGGGGTTTATGCTGTGTGGATTTCTCGGGCTTCTCTTCAGAAGGTGCTTACTAGTACTGCAGTTAGACGGCGTGGTTCTGGTCCCTGTATTTCGAACCACGCCTGTATTACTTGACCCTTTTTTTGTTTGGAAGAAGAAGAAGACTTGAACCCTGTCTTGAGTTTAGGAGAGACAAGAGAAAGTTGTCTGGGGGAGTTTAGGAAAATGAGAGATGATAAAAGAGAGGGTGAATTGAAAAAAAGGTAAAAAAGAATTGTATCAACTAAAATCTAAGATTTGTCTAGCAATAGTTCAAAATATAATGAAATGTGTAAATCATTCAAGAACAATAATGTTTATCATAGAAGATGGATATTAAAATAATAATAGAAATTTATATTATAAAATGAATGATATATGGATAAAAATGACTATAATCACATATTTTATTTGATTTCAAAATGAAATACTTACGAATATAATGCATTCGATTTGATTATCTTTGTACAAAGGTGTGAACACTTTTCGCGAATCAACATTTATTACGAAAGCCATTATTGGTGGCTTAATTGACTTTGTTGAATTTTGTGGAATTCATACTAAAAAAAAATATTCACTGACTTATCTTTCTTAAAAGTGAACTTGTTGAGCTTTTTGAAGTATTTTAACAAGTTTGGAATTAAGGTGCTATTGAAATCAATGACGAAACCAAGAGGGGCTGATGGGGGTCATGGCCCCCCAAAGTTTTGAAAATTTTAATTTGTGTAAATATATGTGTAAAATAAATTTAGTCCCCCAAATGTTTTACAATTTTAGTTTATATTTATGAGAGTCTTATATATATATATATATATATATATATATATATATATATATATATATATATATATAAACCACCTTTGAATTTAATCTTTTCTCCAAAAAATTATTTTTTTCATACCTTTATAATTAAAGTTAATATTTGATGTTTTTGGATGTCATATATTTAAATAGATGAAAGTTATTCTGAACATAATATATATGATAATTTTGTTAGGAAAAATTTTGACCCTCTAGAGAAAAAAAATCTAGCTTCCATCGTTAATTGAAATGTTTATAGGTGGGATTCATTCATGATGACGAGAATATGATACGTAGTCTTTTTTTTTTTCTTACTATATTTGGTTGGCGTGGATAAAAAATGAAAATGGGTTAGTGATTGCTAATTTTGTGAATGATTATGAGAAAAAAAATACATTGTGACAATAAGACACGTAAAATTGTGGATTTCTCAGGTTTCTTTTCAGAGGGCACTTACTGGTACTGTAGTTAGAAGGCAGGGTTCTGGTCCCTGTATTTCGAACCATGCCTGTATGACTTGACCCTTTTTTTCGAAGAAGAAGAAGACTTGAACCTTGTCTTGAGTTTAGGAGGGATAAGAGAAAGTTGTTTGGGGGAGTTTAGGAAAATGAGAGATGATTTATGGACATATACATCAATATATTATCTTAAGCGTGCAAATTAGTCGATTTTAATCGAATAACTTACAAGTTTACTCGGTCAAAATTTAAGTTCAACCTACAAGTTTGCTCTGTCAAAATTTACTAGAGCCTCCGATTGATAGAAGTTTCACTGACTAAATGATTTAATTTGATTCTCTATAGTATTCTATTAGTTAGCTACTATAGTATTCCATCTATTTTTAAAAGGATTCTTCTGGGGGTTCTATCATGCTTAGTAAATGTATTATGATGGAAGCAATATTCCAACTTCTGGAGACAGGACTTGTTTAAGTTGCAAGAATGTCTCCAAAGCATCCGAATGGATTCGTGGATCTGGATGGAATTTGTTTAAGTTGCAAGAATGTATCTATTCCACCTAACTCATTTTTGTTGTGGATGTTTGTCTTTCTATGGCTGGCCGTTCTGTTTGCTGAGTCCCTTGCTTACCTTAGTACGAGGATGAACGGAACTAGCTATAGCAACCTTCTTGGGACAATGATAGCAACTTCCTGTGTATCATATGCTTTGCCCGAATACTAATTTCCTTTTTCTTAATCAACTACCTCTAGAGTAGCGGCTTAAATGTCTCCTTGAATAGATAAGGGATCAAATTCTTTGACCTGTATTTTTCTTCAGGATTTTCTAGAAAAATTCACTAGCAGGTGCAAAGGCACTCATCTGATGCAGTAATGGTTCAGTTCTCGTCGAATTTTTCATTGATCCCTTATGTCCATCATGTCGAAAAAAAATTTTCCTTTTTATTTTCAACGAACTGACGGGGAAGAAAAGAGATTTTTTGAATGCTATTTGTAAAAGGCGACCTGGACCCTCTCAATTTTTAGAGCTTGTAACAAGAAACACCTCAAGCTAGTGGTAAATCACTAATGTGACAATTTTAATTACTTATCTTTCATAAAAGTTAGTCAGACAATTGTTTCCTTCAGTCATCGAGCCAATTCTGCCTTACTAGGATCATCTCAATTTACTCCATTTTACCCTGGCATTAAGTAAAAATATCATAGTTACTTCATCGATCGTTAACTTCAATGACATGCAAATCTCCAGATTGAACCAATAACATTTTAGCTGTGATCAAGTCATTATAAATTTCGTCGCATTTCTTATAGCTTCCAGTACTGCAAGATTAATAATAGTGCATCATAAGACGAACAGCTGTGTCCAGAAAGTAATCACCAATTAACATAATGATCTTCTTTTATCAAGAAAAAGAGAGTTTTGGTAGCATGCTCGGATCGTTTTCTGGGCGGGGCGTTGATAAATGGAGCCGAAACACTTGCGAATTTTTGTACATCTTATGCGGGGCGCCATCCATGCTGCAAGCCTGCAGGCTGCAGCTAAGAAAAATTGTTTATTAGCTGATTTAACTATTCTAGAATTGATTAGGGATGCCTTGCTACAGCTTTTTCTGTCAATCATCGTACGTACTTGACAGCTATGGCTCGAGAAGATTTTGATTTTAACGCCTGCATATATGATGGTAAGTAAATTTAACAGGATTTTTTTTTTTGTTAGATAAATTAACAGGGACATGATTCATCATTTTTATGTATTTTCCCTCAATGTTTCTTGCTTGCATGGATGGGGCTGGGATAGAATGATTGGAGTGCATTCAAGTCCTTCGCCCTCTGCTTCCAGGGCAACTGGGCGTAAGTTCTCCTGCTAACTCTGCTCCTAGAGGCAGAAGCAAAACTTCCGGGGAATTAAATTAATGCGCCCGATACGCGAACTGCATCGCCGGCGCTGAAGCTACGAGCATGATTCAAAGTCGCGGTCATGGTTGCGGTCTCGGCCTGGACCGTTTCACATCGGTCTCGGCCTGGACCGTTTCACATCGGTCTCGACATATCGGTCGCAGTTTTGACGAGATGCGAATTTTTGAAATATTTAATATTATAAAAATTGTAAAAAATATGATAAATTAAAAAAATTAAAAAATTATTAAAAATAATAAAATTTCGAGCTGATTCGGGATGACTCGGAGTGACTCGATGAGACTCGGCCGTTTCAACCGTTCACGGTGACATCTCGGTGAGTCACGTATCTCGGTATCGTTTCATCGTGGTCTCGTCTCGGACTAGGCAGAGACGGTGACGACTCGGCCGAGTCTTCGAACCATGGCTACGAGTTTACTACTTTTGTCTGTTGACACTTCAGTTTCCAGCAGTCACAAGACAAATCATAAACTCTCACTTGCATATAACAAAAAAAAATAATAATGCAACTAGATAAGTGAGAAATTGGGAGTGGCACATATTGGGTTACTATTTTAACACTGCATCTGGATTGAGAGATTTGATAAAGAATTTGAAACTCGTTCAAATCGCTGTATTTGTTTCGATTGCTTAATAAGTTTGTGATACACTAACTTCAATCGCCATAGCCTTTTTTTGCTTAAACAGGGGATATCATATGCACATGAAAATTCTTTTTCTATTGAGTAAGATATCTGAGAGAATCAGAATTTGGACACCTATTTATAATCTTCTTAAGTAAAGAACAATTTCCAATTTAATATCCTAAAACCATTTGACCTCCATGGCTCCATGCACTCTTGCCTCTTGTTATAAATTAATTACTTGGTGTCAATCACGTGAATGCATATTGATTTTTTTCCCTCCATGAGATGAATATGCTTCCAAGTCCACCGTCCACATTTTGGACAACCTTAAGAAGGCCTAACTTTTCTTTTTAATTATTTTTTTAACAATCCTAACTTGCTATAACGTAACATAGGCCTTTCTGATTGTACTACTTTCTCCTCTTGTCGGTGTCTTGGCCTTCATCGAAAATTGGCACTGTGGAGATAGCATATGGACCTAAGGATGAGACCCTCTATAATTTCAAAAAATGGAAAAACAAATAAATAAAGAACTCCTTATAGTAAGCAAAGCATGTGTAAATTGTAATACGGTGTATTTGATGAGATTTTGCCAAGATCAAAAGTAACTTTGAAATTTTTTAATATTCAATCTCAATCTGCATAAGAAGCTCGCTCGTTAGATGGAATTCTGTACTCTTTGATGTTTGGTAATTTAACTATTCTAGGTTAATTTTTATTACATTGATAGTGGGAACAATCGTAGCGCAATATGTTACACGTGTAAGCGAATTAAAAAAAAAAAAATTTACACTAACAGCTTAAGAAAAGTTACTTTAAAATCTCTTTTTCTTATAGGGATTGAGACATTGAGATGATTGTAAAGTGCAATCAATGGTTTAAATCATAGTATGAAATTGAAAAAGCTCATATTGCTTTTGTTCAAATAGTTGAGAACGTTTTACATCACAATGATACATTGTTGCCGGAGCGTGCGTTGCACGAAGTCAGAAAAGCCTTAATGAAGTCCACAATTAATTAGCTTACACAGGACAAAAAATGTCAATCTCACTATTCCAACTTTCAATTGGATCTCCTTTTCATTCTCTTATTTCTTTTCATGTTTCTTGTCTTTGAACCTAATTTTTAACTATTTGGTCTCCATTTAGACTTCCCCTGAACTGATTAAAAAGCCCTCTCAAGTAGGATACTACTTAGTTCAATTTGTCATATAGTTAAACATAAGTGCTTGAGATTTGTTTGTCTGAAGCTTCATTCTCATCGTTAGTCGTTGATACTAAATTTTGTAATTTATATCACCGTTTAGGATCATCTATGCATAGATTAACAAACTCTCCTAATATTTTTTTTATTTTT